TGGCATTGGTGAGGCAGCAGCTGGAGTGCTATGTCCAGTAGGGCTCTCCAGTACAGGAGAGACCAGGACATAACTTGAAAGAATCCCAACGTAAGGCCATAAAGATGATGAAGGGTTGGAGCTGAGAGAGCCAGGGCTGTTCAGCCTGGAGACTTGTCAGTGTCCATAGATACCTGAATAGAGGGGGTGCTTCAGGGTTTGCCCAGTGCCTCTTGTCCTGGCACTGAGTGCCACTGAAAACAGCCTGGGCTTTCTACCTGGTTCTCGTTTGGCTTTTCTGAAAGAATTTATTCACAACCTAATCTCTAATTCTGCATTGGAAGCTCCAAGTTTTAATCTATCCCTCACGTGAGGATGTGTTCTGTGTTAGAGCTTTTGGTACTGCTCTGATTTAGCAGTGACCTTGGTGGGCCCACTGGTGTGGCCACACTCCAACTCTACTGGAAGACAAAGATATTGCTATAGTAATCCTCTTCAGTGAGACAAACGTTTTTGATATCATGTTTTTTCAAGTGACCATGTTGCTGATTTGGTGAATTGTCTTTTAATAATGCTTGTAAGAGTTGTGTTGTTTGGTCATTTTGTATTTGTTCTTGGAAGTGTTATTTAAAGGCTAACTCAAATGAGGAAATACCTCTGCTATTGCAGGCCAAAGTCTCTCAACTTTTTTTTTCACTTCATCTTTTTGATGCTGACTGAGTGAATCTTTTATTTTAGATAAAGTTCACATTTTGCTCAAACCTCCTTTAAGCATCTTCAGTTGCAGGTATAAATCTTTTTAAGGAGATCCTACCTGGAGTAAGAAAGATTATCTTGGGTGCTACGGCTTCTGATGTCCATGCATCGCTTAACCTCATGCTGAAGGAAGATGTGATAGCCAAGTAGAACCACCAGGCCTTGCTCCATGAAAAAGACAGAGAGGACCTACCTAGGAAGATATGACTGACATTTATGGAAAAATGGGATCTGTATGTGAACACTTTGTTTCCCCAGTACTGTTTAAACTCTGTGGCAATAAACCTCAAAATATGAAAGATAGCAAGCCAATAGGGACCAAGTACTTATCTGGTAAATCAGATTTTTCTTTTCGTATTGTTAAAGATTTACTTTTGTTTATTGCATTGTAACAGTGCAAAGTGCATCAGTGGGGGGCAGGCAAGGAAGAGAAGAGGGCAGAATGTAGTCCAAGAGCAGCTACAAACAGATCCACCCATTCAGGTTAGCTCTCCAATAGTCATTTATATAGTCAGTCCATAATAAAACTTAATCTTTGATATTTCTGCAGAACAAGAAATGTAAAGTAGATCAAGGACTACAGTAAAGTCAGTTTTTGTCTACTGACAACTCAACCATTGATAATCTGAGCAGCATTTGTTCACAACCCATTCTGACAACTCATGGTGAGAATATCACTCACCTTTTTCAAGCATGTGTGGGAAGAACATTTTCTGTTGTAAATTCCAGCTGCCTATAAGCACAAAAATTACAATATCTGTAGCAGACTGCTGCATATTTAATGAGAGGAAGTACTTAATGACTTAAGAAGCTGGATTCAAGAACTGTGAGGTTCTTAGTGGGCAGAAGGAGAGATAAAAATGTGAAGTCTTTAAAATTGTGAGGTTGTAAACTCACTTAACTTTTTAGTCTTATCCATCAGGAGATTAATGTTGTATACAATGGAAAACAGAAGTAGTGTTGGGACAATCCTAACATGGCCCATCCTATGTGAAACAGAACTTCAGCTTAGTTATATTATTCAGAATGAATTTTAGAAAACAATTCTAAAAGGATAATGAAAGAATAATTAGTAGAATATGCAGATAGTCCTGTAAACCTGATGGAAGAAAGTTGGGCTGCAGCACAGGGCTGTGTGTGAAGTTTTTCCTCTCCTATAACACAGTATTGGGCATCACTTCTAAGGGCATTTCTGAGAATACATGAAGAAATGCTAATGAAAAAAATAGATAGTTCATTAGTGGAAAAATACTGAACTGGAAGATCTTCGTGCTGTTCTGACATTCAAATTAATGCCAAGAAGTCATATTTATAGAATATCATGGCAGGTAGCCTGGGGTTACATAAGCTGGGACCGTATAGAGTCTGCTTTTAATTAAATCCCTGAAATGCTTGTAAACACATCCATTGCTTCTCATTTTTGTAATACTCATGCCTAAAATCTGCATTCAAAGATCATGATCCTGTAATGCCTGGCTCTGCGTCTGTCACAAAACTTGGATTAATTTGAGACATGACAGAAGGAAACCAAAGTATATCAGAATAAGCACTAGTCTTCATCCATCACATGTTCAACTATTGCCACTATTCTCTAGATTTTGTAATTAGGAGCAGAGCTTAAAGAAGTAGCTTCAAAGATATACGTTTATCAGGAAATGACTCAAACTATTAGATTAAACTTCCTTTGAAGCAAATTTTTTTTCGAAGTTTCTTTTTCAAATCTGTTCATTTTCAGATCTATGTTCAATGACTTTTACTTAGCAAAGACAACACAGGTCAGGAACAGACAGATACCAGCAGGTCCTGAATGAGGATCTCTAAAATATCTGGTTGAGAAAGCCTCAGATTTCTTCCACTTGTAAAGTGTATCATTTACATCAATTTTGCAGTGCTTCCAATGTCCATTGGTACGTTCTGCTTGTTCCTTTTGCTGTAGGGAAGCTTATCTTCATTTTGAATCAGCAAAAACTGAAGCACAGAAGCAGGTGCTCACCTAGGGAGTTTAGGCACTTCTCAGCTGTCTCACAGCCTCCTGTTTTCTTTACATTCTGCCTCTAAGACCATCATTAGAGATTAGTCCACTAGATGAACTACTACTCTGATTTGTTCCAGCAATTCTTTTCTGCTGTTTCTAAGCAGCTATGGCTGTTGTGCACAAAGTGGGCAACTTTTTTTACTGCAGTTATATGAATTGGAATTACAGTAAGCAGCTGAACTCCTTTGTTCTCCAAATTTTCATTCTTGAGGTTCATTGATTACACCAGGGGATTACAGCCACAGAAACTGATGAAGTTTGCCTACAGGACTCATAAAGGAGCTTGAGATTTGTGGGGTTGTTCTGCATGTTGCAAGATTAACAATCCTTTTGACTGTTTGTAGGAGTTTTCCTTGCAATGACTGTATTACAATCATTATCTGTTCTAGGTTAACATGTTCCCCCAGAACCTGGTGGAAGTGGAGCTAAAGGAAAAAGGCTTACACAGATCTGCAGCTGCTTTGCTTATAGGACCTGCTGCTGCCTTGTGAGGAAGCCAACTGTTACCAAGCAGCTGACCAAAAGCTTGCAAGTCCTGGATACCACTGACTTGATCAAATCTCACTGCTTTCCTTCCCCCTTCAAATTCTGGAACTTTGTTATAAGCTATCACTTACAAGAAGCATTTGCTCACTAGAGGATAAGGTTTTTTTTAAGCAATTTCTAACTCATGTAGGTCTTTGCGTAATACAAAATTTGAAAAATAGGTAAGCAGGGTTGCATTTCCACATGGAAGCAACGATAGGATTGCAGAAGGAACACTCATTAGGTACGTTAGTTTTCATCTTTGTCTTATGACAGACAGGCACCAGCAAGGTGTGACTCAGTCTGAGATTCAAAAGATGAATAAACACTGTCTGCCAAATGTTGGTACCAGCAAACTCCGAAAGTCATGTGTAAACTAGACAAGTTTTATGTTGTGTGGAGCACCATGCTTGTCAGTTTGGACCAAGGGCAACAGCCACTTGCAGAAGGTACCAAATTATTTGTTTAGGCAGTTTTTAAGCATGTGAAGAATAGTTTCACTTCTGTTTGAGCAAATGGAGCCCCAAGGTAAGAGTGCTTGCATGCTGCCTGCTTATTCTTTCCAAGGGACTGTTTAACAGTTTGACTTTGGGACAGATTTGAACCAGGAAAAAAATGGGGAATTCTGGGGAACACCAAACCTTGTTCTGCCAACTCTCAAGTAGTTTCAGTTTCCAAGTGGATAAATTGTTCTGTTCCTACAAAGCAGCAAGTGCAGGCTCTTCTTAGCTGTGGCAAGTGACAGGTACTAGAGTTTGTTGTACAGGGCTGCTAGAGGGAAGCTTCCTCTTAGTTTTCCTCCTTGGAATTCCCCTAAGCCTCTAACGTTTCAGCTGTGACTTGCCTGGCTTGTTTCCTCCTTATATCTATGAACCCTCAGTAGTGAGAGCAGCTCTCCTGCTGTGCTGGTGCTGAATCCAGATTGAAGGAACAGGAACCACCTGCTTTCCTAAGGTCAGTTTTTCTTCAATTCTCAACTGCTATGCTTTTGTCATGGTACATTCATTTTGTCTTACCTGCCGTGAAGAACTGTAACTGATTTGTGTATCAGTATCTGGACTTGTATTGCTTGAAATATTCTTAGGATAAAGTCTGAATTAGAAGGGATGAAATTTTGCAGAAATTTTAGTCATGTTAATTGCTTGAAAATGAGTAGTTTCAGGTTTTGAGGGGAACATGCTTCTTCTCTGTACAAATACTGTTTATACGGAAAGTGAAACTGCGGAGTATTGGAATAAACTAGCTTGTTTCTGTTCTTCTGACTGTTTTGGCAAGAAAACGTTCTGGTTTAGGAGGGCTTCTGTGATAGAGAAGGTCTTTGAATATAAAGCTAGCTTGTCTGCTAAAAAAGTAGGCAAGGGGTCTCCTCTGCCTCTTCGTATCACCTCCCTGCTGAGATGGGAGAGATGGGCACAGCTCTGACAGCAGAGGCACTGCTGGGTTCAGGAGGCAAATTCTGTTCTCAAAGATTTTCTCAACTCTGACGCCTGCAGGACAGCTTGCCTGCAGCCTGCCTACACATACCTATCTACCAGGCAAAGCTGGTGAGGTTTTGAGGTTTTATTTTCTAATCTGTTGTTTCTCACTATACAATGAAGTTCACAGAAAGGCAGAAAATCCCTCAGGCTGACATCTGTACTTTTTCAAACTTCTCTAACCTCATCTGAAGGAGACAAAGGAGAGTAAGGTAGGACATACAGCAGATTTTTTTCCAGCATCATCTCAGTTCTTTCATTTTAGACTAATGCATAGGTAAGATGCCTTCCGTAGGCAAAAGTATCATCTTTTGGTAAATCACATAATACAGCAGGAAAAGCTAAACAGGCTTTTGGACATAAGTTTCTCATAGAGTTGAAATAGGACCCCAAACTTCCAATGCTAAATATAAGCTGCACACTATTATTTTTGGCTTCCTAAACTGATATGAAAATTAAGTTGTAGGGCAGGGTTCTTCCGTTCCTGAGATGACTTTCTTTTTCTTTTAAAATTTTCTTATCCTCTGTACTTGTGGGAAATTGCTTTATTCCCTGTCAGTCAAAAGAGTTTGGGAAAGAAAACCCCCTGACAGAATCTCCTCAGAAGCATCTTTCTCACATTGGAAGAAAACTTCACATTATTGCCTTTCTGTAAATCTTCTCCTTCCTCTTAACTACCACTTGGTTTTAAATGGTAGCAGAATTCATTGCCTGGTGTCAAATGATAAGTCACAACTTACTCCCTTTATCTATAGGAAACTAAAATGTGCCATCCAGCTCTTAAGACTTGTATGTGATTTAAGGGAACACCTACTGCTTCATGAGCTGTATTCTTTGTCCTGGTATAGTGATGCTCACTATTTCTTTTACTACTTTACCAGCATTTGTAATTCTTATTGTTTTGATAGCACTGTAAAAGAGTGCTGAACAAAACCCACCCAAAGTCTTGCAAGTGAATCAAATTGCTGTGCTGTATATGTAGAAAACAGCACTAACATGGATGTATCCTGAGTAGAAACCTTACTGCAGCAGAGGTATGCACTGAGTCATCACAGAGTTAATGCAAAGGGAGCACGGGGAATATAGGGATGGAGCTGGAGTTAACAGGCTGCTTGGGAAAGGAGGTGTTAGTTCATTATTTAAAGAAAAAATATTAGTCTTAACAAGCACCCAAATAGCAAAAGACAGCACCCTCTGAAAGGCCTGGGAATACATTGGGAAGCACAACCTGTCTTTCTCACCTAGAACTTTTGCTTGTGCAGAGGCCAAAAGCAAATGTCAGTGCTGATGTCCCATGGGACTTTGGTCCACTGTTACCATCCCCAGAGAGCTGGTAACAGCATTCAGTGCCCTAACACACAGGTTTGGATGAAATTTTAATCCTGTGATATGAAAATATGCAAAATGCCCATTTTGGCAACACTGCAGGATGCCAGGGGACTGTATTATCAGTAAACTAAGGTAAAGTCATGTGTGAAACAACCAAGAAAGTGACTGAGCAGTATAGAACACATCAACTATAGCCTCAGACAGAGGGTGCTGGATTCAGTGGGATGCTGTGTGGGAAAAAAAAAAAAAAAGGAAAGTCCTGGGAAAGCAATTGCTGTTGTAAATACACTTAGTAATGCTGGGTTTCATTTTCTGTGCTTCAGTTGAAACACACAGCCAAGCATTCACTATCCAGAGGTATAATCCTGCTTCCCTCTGGCACACCCTTCATGTAGCAACCTTCCTCTTTCCAAAACTCACTTCTTTTTCCCTGAAACTTTGGACAGAGCACTTTCCACAAATCCCACCATCACTTTAATGCCACAGCACAGCTGTTATTAAGATTTTTTTTGGTTCAGCAAAAGAAACTGCACCACCTGAAATCCAGTGTAGATAATAGAAAGGCAGATTTGTGTAGATGTATGTCAGCCCAATGCAGTGAAGAAGAAAAGAGGGTAAACAGAGCAAGTTCTTCATTTTTGAAAGTTCAATCTTCCCAAGGTAGAAGGCTACATTTCTCTTACTCCTGTACTCCTGAGCTGTAGCTCTTCTTAATTCTTAATTTTCAGCTCTCTAGTGGGACTTGGCACTGGCAAGGCTCCTTTCTCAGCTCCTTCCTGACACCTTGACTTTGTAATGCGAAACATTTTGCATTATGTCTGTATTTAACCACAGGGAAATGCAATTGGAAGAGATCTTTAGAATAACAAAAGCTCTTAGGATTATATTTCCACAAACACTAAGAAGGCCTACTTACTCCCTTTCCATAGGATTTGCCCTTTTCTTCATCTGCTGTAATCAAGCAGTTTAATAATTGCTGAACTTGGAAGGAGTGATTCACCTGTCTGTTTTGCATTCCCTTTAGAACTGCACAGGACCATGGGATGGCTGAGACTGGAAAGATTTCTGGAGCTCAGCTGCTCCAGTGCTGCTGCTCAGGCAGGGCTACCCAAAGCACATTGCTCAGGGCTATGGGACAGCAGAACTTCTGCTCATCACTTCTCTGTCTCTACTTCTGATCCAATATTATTTTGGGGTTAATGTTTCAACAGCATTGTTCACAGTGTGGAAAACCAATATTCTGCAAGGCCCAACTGTGTTTAGATTTTACAGTAATACAACAAAGAGCATGCAGCAACAATTTGAGAAATTAATGTGATATGTTTATAACCTCCTTCTTGGTTCTCATGAAGGTTTGTCAACTTCTGCTTTCCATTTATAGTAGGGCAGGCAATAACCACAACTTTTTGTAATGTTGGTAATGTAATGAGGCCACACAGTATGAAAAAGGAGAAGTACCTGAGTGTAGGTCACCCCTACACATAGGGTGTTGCTATGTCCACCTGCTCTCCTAAGATTTGGCTCTAGATTCAGGTGTCTTCTGCAGAAGAACACAGAGAGGTCCATTTCCAAGCTGCACAAAGGGACAACTCCACCCAGGGCTGGGAGGGAAATGAGGATTAGTTCACAAGAAAGTAGCTTGTGGTAGTGTGACTGGTTCTGCTTACTGCCTTCACCTCAAAATATGATTCTCAGTGCCTGTCTGAAACTTTCCATAGTTGCAGTGTGTGACCAGCTATTTTGACAGGATGCAGACTGGAAAATTTGCTGGTTGTCCATTTCATGTTGGTATCTGAGAATTACGGTGGATTGAATGACTTGGATCATCAACACGGATAACATTCATATCAGAGATCTGTAAGCACTGAGAAGCCAATATTTGTTTTGGAAATAATTTGATAAAGATGATGAATAACCAACATGTACAGTTATTCCACTATCTGTGGAATGTTTGAGCTTATGCTGGTGCTTGCTGCTCTAACTGGAAGCATACGGAAGGGATTTAAAATGAGGTGGAGGACAGATAAACTTTATCTAAAGAAATGCAGAAACGAAGCAGTTCCCAAACCATACAGAAATGTGGGAGTGCAGCAGGGAGCACATGAGTACGCAGAGAGTTGTCTGGATTTCGTATGGCACTCTGAAATGCTTAGCAATTCTTATTAGCTCATGCTTTTCTGTCTAGTGCTTTTTTTTGTCTAGCAGATATTGCTAAATCTATTTTTTAAATTACTGTGGTAAATTTTACAGTGCCAGCAAGTGCCCTGTTACCAGAAATGAATTCCCAATGTGACCATACAGTAAACCATAAAGTTTGGGGAAGAGCTCTACAAAATAGCTGTGTGATCTCTTACTGTTCTTTCCTGTACTGAGGGGACGTCTCCTAGAGCTGTCTGCAGGTCTCACGAGCTGGGATGTAGCAGCCCAGCCAGAAGCTGCTGACCCTGAACAGACATTGTCATAGCAGTACAGGATGGAGTTCTTCCATCCTCTTCACTGCAGTCTCCTTGTTCCCTCAATAACTGCTGGATCTGTGCTTGTACCACTTATATTCTGATGAAGTTACAGAAGCTGCAGTTTATTTAGTACTTGCCAGGTTGTTTTGGGCTGTATGGTCAGACTGCAGTATCCCATGTGGTTGGTGTGAAAAATGGGTGAATCTCATTGCAATAACTTCACTTGAGACTTATCTGCATGACAACAATGACTTAAAATTACAGACCTAGATGCAGATTGCAATGAGTCTCACGCATGAGACCAGTGAGACCAGTTCCAATCCTGTCAGATTTCAATGGCTTATGATCAACAGAAAGCCACAGTGCTAGACTTTTACTTTTCATTTACAGAAGTTGTCTCTGTCATAGCTAATTGTTTTGTGATCTGATTTCAGACAAGAGATAAATCATGGATTCAGCATCTGTGTCTGAAAATGGCTACCTTGATTTGCTGCTTTGTGATATTGATCCAGTGCATCTATTTACATTCTCAGACCCTAAGTCATCTGGAAATGAAGGTGAATTCTTTGCAGGTTAGTAAAGCACTAAAAAGCACTTGAATAATTTAGATATAAGGCATTGCCATCTCTTCAAGATTAAGTGGCCATCCAATGACAGTTCATCGTGGTGGCTGGACTGAATTCACCAGGTGCTTTGTTTTGCAATATGATAATTTTTTCTGTATAAGTATATAAAACAGTGACTGCTTCCGGAAACTACCATGTATTTAAAGATGTGCAAGGTGCTGAACCTGGTCCAGAACAATCCCAAATATCAGTGTCAATTAGAGTGAATGGATGGAGAGCCTCTCTGAGCTGTGCCCCCTGCACAAGCTCACATGTTTGTGTTGGACATGGAGCAGTTGGAACAGGTCCAGAGGAAGGCATAAATATGCTCAGAAGGTTAGAGCACCTCTCCTATGGAGGCAGGCTGAGAGAGCTGCAGTTGTTTAGCCTGAAAAAGAGAAGGCTCTAGGACAATCTTACTGGGGCCTTGCAGTACTTAAAGAAGGCTTAAAAGAAAGATGGGGAGAGACTCTTTACAAAGGTGTGTAGTGATGGGACAAGGCTTAACAATTCAAGGCCAGGTTGGATGGGGCTTCGGGCAACCTGATCTAGTGGGAGGTATCCATGGCAGGAAGGTTGGAACTGGAGGATCATAGAACATCTCAGATTGGAAAGGACCCACACGGATCACATCCAACTCAGCACTACACAGGACTACCTAAAAATTAAGTCATGATCTTTATAGGTGTCTTCCAATTCAAACCGTTCTGTGATTCTATGAAGCTAGACAACTGCAAGCAAACTATCATTTCCTAAGGCACCAACGCAACAGACTTGCATTAGCAGGTGCTGTTCTACATCTTTTCAGAGCACAGACTAATGATTTCATTATTCTGTGATGGAGGAGAAAGCAGAAAGACTAGGGTGCCAAAGGGATGTTTTCTTTCATACAAGTTTCTACAGCTAAGCAGATTAGAAGGTTGGCCCTCGCTCTCAAATTCTGCTGCTAAATTAGCGTGGACATTGCAGAGCACGCTGCTTTGCCTGGGCTTGCTAGAGTAAAAGTATGAAAGTGTACCTGTGCTGCTGTGTTGTGAAACAGTAGCTGAGGTTGTTTTAAGCAAAGGAGTTCAACTACATGTTGAGAATGGCAATGAAAGGAGAACATATGTTGAAGTCCTAGAGCTCTGTGCCAGACAGACGTTAAGAAGTTACCATATTGGAGTGATACCATTTCAAATCCACATTGCTTTCTGCATCTTGTTGCAGGAGTTTTTCTGCACTGCCATGATCTCACTTGCACAGGACTGAGATGAATTAGGGATAAAGGACTTGACTTTCACAGCAGCAGAGATGTTTTGCTGGTTTGAATTCTTAGCCTTCCTAGTGTCTGAGAAGACATGGATAAGTTAAACAGTGTCAAAATATGGCCCCATTTATTGGAAGTAGGACATCTTCATTGTTAAGTTGTTAACACAGTCCCTGACATGCTTTTGGCCTTGTCTGACTGGCATTTTCCTAGCCAATTTACTGCTGCAGATCAGAGGTTAGCATGGACTCTGCAACATTCCCAAGAGGGAATTTGGATGGTGTTACCACATCCTGAAGTGTAAAAAGGTTTAATAACATGGACTATTTGGGGTTAGTCCTGTCTGCCATTGACAGATGACAGGACAACAGGAAATGCCTCAAGTCCCTGGAGGTGTTCAAGGCCAGGTTGGATGGGGCCCTAGGCAGCCTGGTCTAGTATTAGATATGGAGGTTGGCAGCCCTGCCTGCAGCAGAGGGGCTGGAGCTTGGTAATCCGTGAGGTCTCTTCCAATCCATTCTGTGATTCTATGAAGTTGCCCCAGGAGGTTTAGGTTGGATATTATGAAGAACTTCTTTACAGAAAGGGTTCTTAAGCACTGGAACAAGCTCCTCAGGGAGGTGGTTGAGTCACCAGCCCTGAATATGTTTAAAAACCATCTGGATGTGGTGCTCAGGGACATGATTTTACAGTGGGTTGTTAGAGTTAGGGTAGTACAGTTAGGTTGTCATTGGACTTAATGATCTTGAAGGTCTTTTCCAACCTGAGCAATTGTATGCTTCTGTGATGATTCCACGCTGTGTCTCCAGGCTGTAGTGCCATGAAATGGGTTCTGGAACCATTTTATATACTAGGAGAGGTGAATTTTCAGAGTTTAACAAAAGAATATGGATTTCTGGGTTAACTGTAAGTTACTGAGAATTCAATTCTGTTCCTAGTTAGCCAACATGCACCAAAAACCAAAAGCCTTACACTGAAATAATGCATCTCCTTTTTCTTCATGTCCTGCTTTCTGTTACTTTTCCTTAGCTGTCGTATTTGTTAAACCAGTGCTAACTCCTTTTTCATTCTAGATCCTGAAATTGATACCTGCAACTATGAACAATTCAATAATATGGATTTCCTGTGTACAGTGGAAAATGATGAAAGTGAGGATGAATTGTATCTCTCTTCCAGTGCCAGAGATGCTTATGCTAGAATAGGTATGAAAGCTTCTTCTTTTTTTTTCTTTTTTTTTTTTTTCCAGCTCTTGGTATCTTAATGTGCTCATTCTTTTCTACCCATTTGATATAGCTCTTTCTTACAAATTCTATTTTCACTCTAAAGAGTGGCACGTATTCAAGGCTCCTCATGCACAATAAGCCTAACCTTGGTACCTAAAACCATGCATTGTGGGGAAACAGATGAACAACAGTCTGTGGTTGTTAGGGGAAAATCTCTCTATTAATGGCTCCTTCTGCTTAATACTTCCTGTCTCCACTTCTCCTTTCTCATGTTCTTTGTTTCCTGAGCAACAATTTACAAGAAAATCTTAATTTAACTGTTATTTCAGTTATATTGCAGAATTCTGTGAACAGTAGTAAACAATTTTACTGTGAAATTTGCTGTGGCATTACTGTTTTCCTGTCTCTTTTCTTCTTTTAGCTGAATTAGCAGAATATGTGCTCAAGGATCAGCATGAGAAACAGGTGGAAGATGCTTTTGGTAAGATTTATGTGGACAAGTTTAATTTTCTTCATGACAGAGTTCTGGATAACACCTTGCACTGTACTTCAATTAGAACACTAGTAAGATTTCTGTCATCAGGTATCCTCTTCCACCTTCAGCTTTCTTTCACCCAGAAACTGTGCTGACAAGTTCTGAGGATATTTTGCTTTTTGCAGGATTTTCCATGTTGTATCTGTGGCCAAACTGCTGATCACTTCACCATAGCAATATTGTAGGCATTGCTTGACTGTCTAGTGCAGTAAATGCCTACAAGAAGCATAGACTTATGAGCATTTGACACAAATGATGTCCATGTATTCATTAAGCCCAACACACCAATAGGTCTTATCATGTGTATAAATTCAGTTCTGCACCCTTATTTCTGTGGACAATGCACTAAGTCGCCTGAGAAGCCATGTCAGATTTTACTTCTCCCAGATCAACACAGGAATGGTATAAAATATATGTAGTAAATTATTTCTTCATATCAGTAATTGATTGGAGATATTTGCTCAACATCTTGATCAAAATCAGCGTTTCGATTGTGGCACAAAATCAGCAGTTCACCATTTTAGAGAATCTGTATTATCGTGTGGCTGCTGAGAAATATGTAGATTCAGAAAGGTTCACAGAATATCTGCACATCCTCTTTTATGCTTGGAGAAAGTAATTTGGAATTGCTTGCTAAAGGTCAGAGCATATCCAGGGCAATTAATTCTGGCTACAAGAGGCCCATGTGGCTTTTAAATTTTTTTTTTTTTTACCTCTCCCTGGTGTTTTTAGAATTCAGAGTGAAGAGGTTGAACGTAATGGCAAAATTGGTGCTGATCTTAGGGGAAATGAGATCCAATTTTAATATTTATGTATTTTCCTGTAGAAGAATGGTACAGATAGCTTCACTGTTTTATAAAAAAAAATATATAAACAGTTTGGAACCCTTTACTCTTCCTCTAAAATAATTAATCTTTCTCATCTCTATAATGACTAAGGTCCTTTTCTGGTACAGAGATCACACAAACTCTCTAATACAGCTGTGATCCAGCTGTGATGTTTAATTCTTTGCTCATAATTAGCAGTATTTTAATAGCCATTGAATTTGTCACAGTACATCAATTTCTTCACTCTCAAAACTAACACAGGATGACAGAATCTATGGTTGGATTTCTGTGATCTTTCTAAATCCTATAGAGTTGGGTGTGTTTTGCAGAATGGTTTTTGTTGTTCATCTTTTATTTGGAGCATGTTTCATCATTGCTGTCTTCTCGTGTCATTCTCTCACTTTTATCTTCTCCTGCAACATTTCTAGGAGAACAAAAGTTGAGATTTGCAATATTTCATCTTTTTAGCAGGGAACCTTATTTTGGATGAAATGGCTCTTGAAAACACTGAGAAATTCACTGATGTAAAGAAGCAGAAATGTCACAAAAGGAGTAAGTAAAAACAGTGAGAGTCTGAAAGGCTCTAAAGTTTGCATCCAAAATTTGGATTAGAGTTCTTTGGTTTTATATGCAGCCTCAGTGCATTTCTCATGTAGTTCTTCAGTGACACAAGCAGATGTGCTTCCCCTGACTTTTCCTATCCTGGATGGACATTAAGCAAAAAATCCTCCCAGCACATTCTTCACAATTTGCAGAATTTGTTTTCCTGTAACATGACATTAAGCATGTTGTATTTCTTTCCCCCTAATTTTTCTCTCCTTTTTTTTTTTTTAATCTCTGTGAGAATGTTAACTTTGTTTGCAGTGTATCTACAGCTTAGCAAGCATTAGTTCAACTGTTCACTCTTTAACAGCAAGAAAAACAGCAAAGCTACATTATTTAAGGAAAAAAAAAATAATCTATAGCTGAATTCAAATTTCAGGATCACAGTAAACTAATATGAGACTACTCACATTCATGTTTAATGTTTTGGACTCATGCAGTTCTGAAGTAGCTGAATTGAAATTGTTAGCATCCTCTTTTACTTTAAAGTCTAAAATGAGTTTCTACAATGGAAACATAGAATCAACAAACTGAATCCTCTTTCTGTCATTTACTGTCACCTTTCTTTCTTTCAGCCTTTTTAGGCTCTGCAGAGACTTGTTCTGATACTTCAGAACCTAAATACAAGAAAATTGGTAAGATACTGGCTGAATACAAAAAGATTATTGACTGTATTACACTGCCTCATGTTCCATACTGCCTTCCTGGTTAGATGTAACTCTGCCTTGCAAAGAAGATCTGCTGTCACAGATTTGATGATTAGCATAGTGGTGCATTTTCATACTTCAGTGCTTCCAGTAGAGTAGAAACTGCTGTAGAATCACATGCTTCTTACTATGCAGCTGTCCAATTCATGATAGAAAAATGACTTTGTGTCTAGAGAGGCACAGTTGAACTTTTCTAAACCCACCTGAGGGCATAAAGAAGGCCAGTGGAGAACTGGAACAGTGATAAATTTTGTAACTTTTCATGTACACCTTTTATTTATGATGCGTTACGTGACTCTGAAAAAAAAGAGGATCAATACCAGGAAATGCCAAACAGTGGCTAAGTGACACTTCACAGAAATCCAGGGAAACATCCTAGTAAAAATAACAGTGAAGAGACTGCTTTTGGCCCAGCCCATATTCTACAGTCCTTTGCACCAAAGTAAAACAAATATAAAACATTTCTAAGTTGTCAGACCATCTACAAGGTAATATCAGCATCCAGCAAGCAGGCTATAACTTGTTTCCAAGGACAAAGCAGTGCTCAAGTTCTTGCCTGGCTGTAGGATAAATGCGTGTCACAGGCATAAGTAAATACGGTTTGTTGTACCTCAACCTCTCTCATCTCAAGCAGTATTAAGGGACAGACTGTGCCCTTGAAGCCAATTTAAGACCTTGTTGAGTCTTATCTGTCAGTCTAAACACATCTAGAAAGAAGACAGGCCAGGAAAGATGAAGAATTTCATTTACTCTTTAGATTTTGCAGAGTAAATTTTGGAAAGTTATTAATTTTTTTTTCATAACTCAACTGATAAGAATTGGGTTTTTATGATATCTGTTGATACCTCTTCTATGGGTCCCTCAGCTTCTAGCAGTGAAGTAAATTTCTCTTTTGTTTTTGTCTCATTTTTATTTTTAAGTGGATGCCTCTGCAGTATCAACAGGGAATGGATGTTTCCTTACGTCTCTCAACAGCCATTCATCTGACTGCACCCCACTAACTCACCAGCACATGTCCTTTTCTGTTCCCACTATCAATGCACTGGGAAATTTTGTAATTCCCGGTATGTACCACACAGCTGTAGCTGTGAACTCTTATGTTGGTTGTTTTATTGCATCTTGTAAGTTTGGTCATTGACCATGAACAGTAGTGGGGAAAACAACAGCCACTTCAGTCTGAGACTTAAAACTGAGACACTCACTAACAGAATGAAAATGTTCAAGATAAATTGAAAGTACTTTCCCCCTACTTGAATAGAATGAATCTTCTGTTTAATTGGTGAAGTGCAGGTTAATAAAGAAGAGATGAGAGTTATTTAATATAAACAATTAACTATTGGTCCTAAAAGAATAGGAAATAACAAAATTTTCTAGAATAAACTTTTGTTTAGTTCCAATTTCTTTCTCATCCAGGTGTTTGTAAAGGGCTGCTAGATAACTGTGTTTGCAGTTATACATGCTATTTGTGTCTTTGCAATAGCAGACCAAAATCTAGTGTGGAATTTTTTTCACAAAAAGTGAATACTTATCCAAGTGATGGGCTGAGTAGTCACAATGATTTGGTCATGTTGTATATAACAGAAGGTGTGCAGGCTCCACTGGCAAGTGCTAATGACAAAGACTCACAATCTAATACCTCCTGCTGTTAAACCTATGCTGGAAATGAATCCAAAAGCTTTGTGTAAGTTGGAAGTGTGGGAGTGTCTCTGTGAAGCTAGGTGAAACCACAAAGTAGTGGAAGAAATTCTGTCACACCACAGAAACTCAGGGCTATGTATGATTGAGTTACGAACACTCCATCAACAAACAATTCCCTGGTTTATGGTCAGAGGGAGAATGCTCACTAGCTGCTTGTACAGCTGTGTTATGCAGTTCTGTGCAAAGGAGGGAGAGCATTCATTCAGATATGTGGTATCAGTACATTTTCTCTCTTCTTGATCTCTGGTCTGCACATCTATGGACTTTGCTCTGAGTATATTGCCTTAATAGTAATAGACTTTGTCTTTTGAATGTCAACACACAAGGGTCACTAAACACTGGGTAATCCCCTGTGTTTTCCAATAATCATACCTTTTAAGAGTTTATTCTGATGGGTTCTGTGTCCCTCATGTGATCTCATGAACTTTAGAAAAAACATAAAGTCATACAGTTCTGTATCATAAGGTCTCTGCTGGAAGTATTTGCCCAGAAAGTACAAGAAAAGATAATTATCTCTCAGAAGGCTATTTAGTTTTTGTTTTTAGGAACTTTTTGAGATATGAAGATTTGAAAACAGGAGAGTAATGATTCTGCTGTTTCAGGGTCTTCAGTACCTTTGATTCCAGAGAGTCTGCCACTTGGCATGAAAGACAACAGAGAGAACATAGACTCTGTGGATCCTGCTCAGCAGAAAATTAATTATTTTCTTGGAAATGGTCAATCTAATGCTATAAAATATCCAGGTAAGAACTATAATCTTTTATCCACATAAATAGTCAGAAAGTACTGGAAAATCAATGCTGTTAACAGAGTAGAAGACTCCCTCATTTCAGTCACTAATAGCTGCGATACAGTGAAAACTCTCATTTGTTTCTTGCCAGCACTGACTTCCTCCACTGAATTAATGGTATCCCCAGGTTTTCAAGTTAATTTAAATGGTAAGTATAGCATCAATTTGAATATGTACATTACTTCGGATCGGGGAGGGAACACTCCCTTCTATTCAAAGCCAGTTCCCCCCTGCTGGTTTTACTGAAGTTGACCTCATTCAAGAAAAGAAAAAAAAAAAACAGTGGCATTTCCTGCTTTATACTGCTGACTTGCTGCTTAGTCTAGTCCAAAGAACGAGGCAGGTAAGGGCTTGTAGAACTACTGGCTCAATTATAAAAAAAATACAGTTTGCCACAAAGGAAAATCTTATCTAGTTAAAAGCCTTACAAAAGCCCCTTGTGTTTGATTGCTATCAGAGCACGAGGCTGTCCCATTACTGCCTTTGCCTGAGCATTTGAAGTGCTCTGTGCTGGAAGCCATATGCTGCAGTCAGCTTCCATAGGAGCTATAAAACTGAAGTCTTATTTAACGAAACAATGCAGATGCATAGTGTGCAGAAGGGCTTATAAATAGATCAGAGTCTTTTTCAGGCTGTAACAGTCCCAGCTGGGATAGCAGACTTTCCTCTGCACTTTTCTTCCAACTCTCGGAGTGCAGGGAGATTTGTTTTCAGTAGCTCCTCTCCTTCCCATCTCTGCGTGATCTGGCAATTTCAGCTCCTCGCGGGTTACTACAAGTGTTTTGTTGCCCTCTGGTGGCTAACCCAGCCCACAGATGCACAACTTCGAACTAGGAATTAATAGGCAAATACTCCAAGTTTTGAGAAAATACTTGTAAATGTTGTATACTGCTTTTACTTTTGATGAGATGAACCTTTCCTACATGTGAATGTGAATTTCTGCACACCACCATTTGAAAAAAATAAAAAAAACAGTGGATGCCACCTTCTTATGCTATGACCTCACACTGTTGGAACAGCTGTCATCTTTTTGAGTGTCGTGCTGCCTTGGTTCACATCAGCTCACGTGTAATACTGTGAGCTTTTCTCTCCCCTTTCTTGTGTAAGATCAGTGGTAATATTTTCCTGACAGTACATGTTTTATGTTGCAGTGAACTTGAGCATTTGGATTCGTTTTCCTGCTAAAATTAGTAAAGCTGAATCAGCAACTATTGGATATCTTTCTCAAGTATATTGTCATGTTTCAGGCTTAGAAATGTACAAAGAAGTCCAAGTTCCAGTAATTCTTTCTGAAGAAACTTCAAGAAGACCAAGTGAGTTGAAACTTCCACAATTTGCTGTTTTCCCTTCTTTGCAGAATAGAGCCTTGTTTTAGGAATTGTCATTCTCAACAATTTAAGTTGTTCCAACTCTCTTGAGCTAAATTCCTGCTTTTAAGATCTTAGACTTGTACATTTCTGGACATCTAGCTATATAACCTACCCAGGAGATTAATGTCCTTAGCTGTTTTATCATGTCCATAGATATCTTCAGAGTGATTGAGTTCTTAGTGTAAAGGTGTTTGTCATTACTGAAGTCTGAAGTAACTGGAGCTAGATAAATTCAGGCCTGCGTGCTTTATGGGAACTGATATATTTTGACCATATTACAGTCATGTGCTTAAAGCACCCTGAAGCATTGCTGTCGTTTTTGGACTGGTTCCTTCAGTTTGCATATGTGTTTTTTTCTCTAGGGTCAGTGGAAGCTTTCTGTACATCGCTTATGGATTACTTCCGAGACGTGTGCAAATCTGTGTCTGTGGAGCGTGAAATGTCTCTTGATCACATGTATATTGATGGTACACTTAGGCAAAGCCAAATTGAAACCAAGCCTGGGAAGAACAGTGTAAAATCAGTGGAAAAGGATTCGGTAACTAACAGTCAGCAAGGAAAGGAAAAGGCAGTCCTTGAAAGAAACCAAATATTTCAAATCCCAGGAGGTAAAGAGTTAGAGACTAAAGTGATTGTGGTGCTGGGAAAAGCAGGAATGGGCAAAAGCATTCTTGTTCAGAAGATCTGCCAGGACTGGTCCAATGGAGAGTTTCCTCAGTTTGAATTTGTCTTTTGGTTTGACTGCAAACAAATAAGCTTGCCTGAGAAGTGGTACAGCTTGAAGGATCTACTTCTTGACTTTTTTGTGAAACCTCAGGAAGGAAGCACAGAGATCTTCGAGTATTTACTTCAGAATTCTACTAAAGTCCTTCTGGTTTTTGATGGTTTGGAAGGGTTGCACGGCCATGAGAATTTTCCTCATTGTTCAGCCAGCCAGCCTAACAAAGACTTGTGCCGCATGAAGGAGCTGCTTTCAGGACTCATCCAAAAGAAGATACTCAATGGCTGTACTTTATTACTTACAGCAAGAACAAAAGAAAAGGTGTGTCAGTATGTGTCCAAAGTGGATAAGACTATTGAAATAGTAGGATTCTCCCCTCGGCAGAGAGAACTGTACATAACCAAATACTTTGAAGGATTCCCCTCGTGCGACAATGCACTGAATTTAATCAAAGAGTGTGAGTACCTCTTCAGTCATTGTTACAGCCCTGTTATGTGTAGATTTGTTTGTTTTCTCTGTGAGGCAATACTTGAAATGGGAGACCAAGGCCTTCCTTCAACTCTTACTACACTCTTCCTGAAATTTGTTCAGCAAAAAATAATGCCTACGCAAACAGATGTTACAGATGTTACACTTGCACAAAACCAAGAGAATCTTGCTACGCTAGCCTGTATAGCCTGGTATCTTGGAGAAAAGCACCAAAGTGCCATGAAAAGTGACCTTCTTCCTTCTAAGAAAGTTAAAGAGTTTGCTCTGAAAAATGGATTTTTCCTGCCATTTGCATTCCCCAAACATTCAGGTACAGGAGAAGAGGAATATGGGACCATGTTCTCCGATTTTGTCATTCAGAATTTCTTGGGTGCACTTCACCTTATATTAGCAGAAGGCATCAAGGACAAAAGTTTAATAAAGTATCTGTCTTTTCCATCCAAAAAGAAGAAACCTTATAACTGGTTACATTTAGTGCCTCGATTTTTGGCTGGATTGTTATTCCTCCAGGATGACACCTACTTCTGCTCTTCAAACAACGGTGTAAAAAAATCAACCAAGAAGCAGAAAATGCTCCTGAAATATATTAAAAGGTTGCAAATAAACAACCTCTGTCCAGAGAGGTTACTTGAGCTTTTGCACTGTATTTATGAAACACAAAACAACTATCTCTTGCAGCATGTGGCCTTAAGGCTCAAGCCAGACCTGTCCTTTCTGGGCACTGTTCTTACACCACCAGATGTCCATGTACTGTCCTCTACTTTAAAAAGGTCAAGAAAAGAGTTTTCCTTGGATTTGCAGAACAGCAGTATTGACACGCATGGGCTAAAAGACTTGGTTGGCCTGAAGAATGTGACATCATTCAGGTTGGTCATTCTGTGTAGATAGCAAGTGTCATTCATAAAGCTGTGCATAAATGAAACAGCAGTTATAGCTATTGATTTCACGTTTTATCACTTCACAGGGCCTCCCTCAGTGATACAATCAAGCTATGGAAATATTTAGAACAGACAAAAGACTATGAACTGCTGAGAGTGTCAACAGAAAAATTTGTTCTTGATCCCTTTAAGGCAAAGACAATGAAAGACATCAGTGACCTTTCTGACCTCGTAGAAATGCAGGAGATAATAATCAATTGGTAAGCTTGTTTATGATCAAGATCCCTCTAAAATTCTTTTTAAAGCACTATTTTGGTTACAAAATGTTTCTCATGCTCTTATTCTAATGTGATTTATTTAGTGTTCAAGATGCCTCCAGTTGCAGCAGCTATGAAATTCCTGCCGTAAAAAACCTGAGAAAACTAGAATTTGCGTAAGTGAAATGCTTCCCTGTTGATTGATGTCTGATTACACTTAGAACTGTCACAGGGATTGTCTACAGTGTGTACTCAGTTTATGGTAAAGCATTAAGTAAAACCCATTTATTATTTACATTTTGCTCATATGAACTATATTTAGTAATTTACATCCAACCAAAAAAACAATAAAAAAAGTAATTTCTGAATCCTGCAGTGATTCAGGTCAATGTGGTTCTATCAATTTTGTTTGACTTCACCAAAATTTAGCTCTTTATAATCAGGTGCAGATGTCATGTCAGTATGCAAAATGCAAAATAGTGATCTAAATGCCCATGAAACAATTTTTTTGCCAGAAATATTCAACTGTTCTATCTGAATATTCTGCCCCATCTAAGCTTGAGCTGTGAGAGGAAAAGGTCAGAGAATTTCTTCCAAATTAAGTATGTAGTTCAGTTTTCCTGGAAGGGGGAAGATTCACTTGGAAACATTGTCTTGAAAAATGAGGTTTTTTAATCCTTACGTTTTTCAGACTGTAAAACAGCTTACAAAGGTAGACATTTCTCTCTTCTACTGCTTAAAAGCATCCCGCGTTAGAGTATTTGGGAAGAACTTGCACCGATGCAGTGGAGAACTCTCACCAGGTCTTCATTTCTTGCTCTGATATCTGACCAAGCTCAGAACTATAATGCTTTGCTTCTGATTTTATGTTTCTTCCTCTACTCAGCTCCTTTCCTACTTTCTTTTAATTTTAAAACTCTGGTTAAAATTCCATGTCTTTTAATTAGGCTGATCTTGTTCTGATACAAAAGGAATTCCAAATGAGATTAGCATCTGAGGGACAAATTTGATGAGCAGATGCCTGGAGCTGGAATACTGTAGTTCTGTTTATGCCTTAAGCTGCAGTAGAATGTTGATCTAAAGTTAGTTTGAATTGCCAATAACTGGAAAAAAATTGAGAATGTTTTTTTACATCTCTGCTTTCAAGATTACAATAATTAAAATGAGAAATCTGCAGAAACAGAAAAAGAACAGAAATATATGAATCTAAACCAATTGAGAGTCTTACAAAGAAGATAAAAAATGGAAATGCAGATATTGCTTCTAATGAAACTTCCTCTGTACAAACAGCTCTGCTCCGTCTGACTTTGACTTTGTTGGTCCTCATCTGGAGGCTTTGGAGCAGAAATGCTCCCTGCAGACTGTAGGGAATGGTTGCTTCTGAGGAAGGTGAACTGTCTGGCATCTGGGGCTGTGGAGAAAGAGCTTACTTAACTAATTTATAACTTCTGCTGTTTCTTTTCTGACTGTGAATCAACTGCTGCCTGTCTACATCTGTTTATTTTCCTCCAGTCTGGGTCCAGCGTGTGGCCTTCAGGGATTCCTAAAACTCGTGGAAATTCTGGCAGCATTTCCATCACTGCAGCATTTAGAGTGAGTAAAGCTAAAGATTAACTTTGCTAATGCTACACCTCGGCAGCCCGTGATGAGGAGGGAGGTTGTTTATCCAAGAAACCCTTTATTTTCAACAGGAGTACTCACTTTGATGAACAAACTGAATAACAAAAACATTCAGTGAATATAACTACAAAACGTGAATTAAGGCCCTTCAGCAACATTAGGGCACTCAGTAGTGGCTCATTCAATAGCCCTATTATCACCTCTCTGGGTATTTCCCAGTGATTAAAAGCTGATGAGGTTACTTACAGTGCCCTGCTGCTTGCCCTTGTGTTTTTTATTTCTCCTTACAGGTTTTGCAAAAGACATTAAAAAGACATATTCAGCTAGTATCTGGTTTCATTCTGCCCAGGCATCTTCATGCTGTCTTTGTCTTTTTCTTTACCAGGGGCAACTTTAGAAATAAAGTTTTAAGAATTCCAGTTGCTACTAATCCTCTTTTATGACAAGTTATCTCTGAATTTTAAGCTGCTTTACTTAGAAACAATGGTAACAGCAGTAGCCAATATTCAGTATGCTGACTGTGGGTAGATTACTGGGTTTTGAGAGTGCCTTTAGTCAATGGTTCAGCCCATAAGCCATTTCTCTGTATCTTTTTATGATATTTTAGGAAAACAACAGGGCTCCGAAATTGAAACAATCCCAGTGTATCCTAGTGTTGTCTGTCAGATTGGAAGGGGATCCAATATCTGAAATTATGATTATCTAAAATTCTTCCACCTGGATACTTGAATGAGGAGAAACTTCTAAAGCTCCTTACCTGGCAGAATTGCTGTTTAGGTAGGGATTTGTGGCTTCTGCTGCATTTGATCAGTTTTGTGTTCCTATGTGCACAGGAAATCTCATTCCAACACAGCTGGAACACAGCTATTTCAAACCATTTTAATAATCCTCAGCATATGGTGGAAGTAAGGCATTAAGTGCTACCATTTGCATATCAAAGGAAATGGGTCAAGCCTTCAACTAGGCTGTATATTTGAAAAGCAGAAAGCAACTTATTAGAGAAGCTGTGTGATGGTTGTTGCTGATTGAGGCCACTGCTGAGATGCAGGTTCTCAAGACATGCAGAATGGTCTCTAAGGTGAATAAACCAAAAAAATGTATATTAAAGGGAAAGCTAATTCTCTCTTTCCTGTCCTCATCCAGCCTTGATGCTCTGAGTGAAAATGGCATAGGAGATGAAGGAGCAAAGAGTCTGTGTGAAGTCTTTCCAACACTGACATCACTGGAAACATTAAAGTAAGTTTCAAGGTTAACAACTTGGAATTTTTTTAAAAGAAGTAGATTAAACCAAGGGTCTAAAGAGACTGTGTGGTAACAATTACAGGCAAGACTAACTCATGGGCACAATAGAGCAATTAATCTATGGACATATTTAATCTGCATATTCATTAGAGAAATAGTTTAATCCTATTGCAATTCCCTATTTCCTCCCAGGGTTTATAGTTTGCCTTTTCCCTGCCTTTGGTTCGAACACAACGTGTAAATTGCATTAAAAATAAAAGATAAGGTGCATATGAATTATTGAGATGTTTCTGCCAGAGCTGCCTCAAAAATTAAAGCAATGCAGGGAAGAACGAGGGCCAGACCAAGGCAGACATATTCTTAGGGCCACAAACATTGAAGGGCAGGAGGAAAGGCAGCAGAGTGAAGCTGGGACTCAAGGGGAGTTCACCTTGCTGCTTCTGACTTTAATGAGGGAGTGAGAGAGAAACAAGTTGCCAGTCCCAATCACCACCTCACACAATCAAGACTCCCCTCTGCTGATGCTTCAGAGGACTGAATTTTTCAGTGGGAAAATGCAATTTGCTGATATGTTTGCCTCCTTTTCAACTCTTTGCTCTTGAAACCATCCAATTTCACAGTCGTATGATGTCATTAGGCTTCCCAGTGTGAATGTGTGGGTTTTTTTGTTGTTGTTGTTGTTTTTAATTTTATTATTTTTTATTGAAAACACAAGTTATTGCTCTTCGTTTTCCAGAAAGTTGCCAAATTTAACCACGAGGATAATCATGTTTGTAAGAAAAGATTCTTGAAATTCAGTTTTATTTCAATTTCTGAGCAAAGCTCTCAGGTTAATGGTAACTTGAGGCTTTGTAGCATCACATTGGTTTTTCAGGACATCTAAAATCAATTTGTTACACGTTGTAATCAATTAGAATAAATGTGTGCAGCTCACAAAGCAATTTCATTTACTGTAGCTTGTCACAGAATAAGATAACAGATGTGGGTGCAGAGAAACTAGCTACAGCTCTTCCCTTCTTGTCTTCATTAACAACACTAAGGTAAGTGGTTGTGTCCTGTTGGGTTGTTTTATACAACATTCCTCACTGTATCCATCAGAAATTACTGTAAAGAGAATAAATTTTCAATAGACAGACTTTTGATTTCATTCTTGCACAAATTATGTAGTGAGAAGGTGAATGTTTGACTCTGTGTAAATATACAGAAGCTTATCTCAGGAATGTAACAAGAACTATGCTGGTTTGTAAAGCCAATTCATAATACCTGGTAACCAATAATGCCTCATACAAATACACACCTATAATCATGGTCTACTGCAAACTTATGCAGAGCTTGCTAAGCCAGCAACGGGCTACTGTGTGTTTGCAGATAGGGGACTAATGGTCCATCCCACTTGGTTAAAATATCTGGCATAGGCCTGAATGAAGTGTCACTGGAATGTAGGAAACTGGTCTGCAATTCTGGAATAGTTTGCTCATTGGAAATCTTCTGAATGCAGTGTGCCATAGCTTTGATCCTCATTTTCTTGCAGATTTTTAATTTCCTCCAGTGTGTCAGGAATTTCTCCTTATTCATTAAAAATCCTAGATCTGTTTTTGCCATAGCTGTGTAAGCTGGAGGATATATATGATCATGTACCTTGATATAGAAAACGTGGAAATGTTTTAAAGATTAACTGCAATTAGATAAGGATAACTTGGGCATACCAGTCATACCTAGAATTCTTTGATCTAACACAGAGTCTGTTTGTGTTGACCATTATTCAATTGTGACTGCATCGGTTTTGTTGTCTGCAGCTTATACAACAATAGCATTTGTGATTTTGGAGCAGAAAACCTTGCAAAAGTCCTTCCTGCAATGGCTTCTTTAAGAGTGCTAGAGTGAGTATGGAATCTATTGAAACGGCCCACGAGAGCTGATTTGTGTGGATACTGAAAACTCACATCTTCAAGCTATAGGCAAAAGAGACAAAATTTGAGGGGAAATATCTTTTTTTAGTGTGGTTGTGCTATCCTTACAGTCCAACGTTGAGACAGAAAATTGTAGAATTTGCCTGAAAATGTGGAGCGCAGAAGGAAATTCTTGAGAGGGCTGATGTGGTTCTAGGAAGTGATGAAGACTTGCCTTGTTGCTGCCTATCCTTATAGAACAGCAGTGCATCACTACCAGCCTCATGTGAAGGGGAAAAGCACATGATTGGAGTACAGATAGTCAGGGCTTAACAAGCAGTTCACCGCAGATGCTGTGGAACCACAAGAAATGTAACTTTCTAATTCTCTAAATACTTGGTAATAAATGATTTTAGTTTGTTTTTTGAATTACGGATTTCTTTTTTTTCCCCCCATCCACAGACACACTCCTGTAGTATTTTTGCTTTTGAATGAAATGTTTGATGGTACTGCTACATGATCTGACCTGAATTAACAAGAGGTTTGTTGTTTTTTTTTCCCCCTCAGCATTCAGTACAACAAAATAACTGGTGTAGGAGCCCAACAGCTGACTGACAGCCTAAGAAAATGTCCCCATATTAAAAATTTGGTGTAAGTCTCCTGCTATATTGTTTGCTGTGTCTTCAGTTTGTAAATCGGGTGAGAATTCATGCTAATGCTATCTAAGGTATTTGTCAGATTTGTAAGAGGCATTAAGAAAAATCACTGAAATACAGAAACAGTCACACAAATGCTAAAAATGAATCGCTGGTTTCAGCGGCTTTAAGTCCCCATTGCCACAGGCAAGCAAGCTTGTCCTGCTTTAAGCACAGTTGGCACTCCACTGTTTATCTCCTACCCTTCCAGAGCACCTGATAACTGTGCTGCAGGACTTGTATTTGAAGGAGAAACAGTGAACAGCCATCATTAGAGGTTAAATAGACTGACACTGCCAGTGCACGTTCAAAGGGAGTTTGATAGGAAACTAACAGTTAGGGAGACAGGACTGTGGTGTGTTCTATAATCACAGTCAGATGTGGAATGGGGGAGTGGACTGCTTACTTTGAAATGAAAATGTATTTTCCTTTGTTCCTTAGCTTAAGTAATGCTACAGAATGATTCCGGGGGGCTGAAGACAAGCCAAAGCAGAGTTCTATTACCTCTAATAACAACAACTATATATATATATATATATGATGGAAATAAAACCCTAAAAAACTGTGGAATTAATTATGTTTTAAAATCTTTTTTTTTTTTTTTTTTTTTTTTTTTTTCTCTGAACTTGCTCTTACAGGATGTGGAATCCTACGATTCCATATGGAGTTCTTGAACACCTTCAGCAGCTGGACTCTAGGATCAGTGTGTAGCTTCAGATGATCCTATGAAGGTAATGTAAATCCTGTCTCCTTGAGACAGGAGACAGATTTGGTTTTGTGGCAGATTCTCACAGGTCTCACTGGCAGCAGGCACAGTAGCAGCATCTGTGTGTATGTGGCTACATAAAGACATGCTGGCACAGATCAATATCACAACAGATCCCCTTTTGCCCAGTCATCTTGATCCCCTCTCTTCCCTAACGCCAGCACTAGCAGACTGCAAGAGCTGTAAGAATGAACTCCATCAGGGGCTCCTGGTTCAGCGCAGTTCAGTGCCTGGCAACAGGCCTGCGACCCTCCATCTTCAGTTGCACAAAACTAAATAGATCTGAGTTCTTCTCATGACTTCTGTACTCATTAGAGATGGTTTTGTGCTGTTTTTTAGTGAAGTCACTTCACTTCTCCTTTGTTTAGTACAAATCCACCACAGCTGTTTTGTCTTCCTATGAGCCGGCGCCTGTACTGTACTCAGAGCAAACCTTTCATTCCTACATTCCTCTTTCTCAGTATGTTTTGTGCAGTTTGCCCACTCCACTGGCTGCCGCTTTCACTTCACTGATTTTGCCTGCACAGCCTCAAGGATCCTTGAAATAATTACATCCTTAGCAAAGAACAGCTTGCTGATCATTTCCAGGATTGGACTTGACATCACTGGTCCGATGGAGCTGCAGCAGGCAGTTATGGGAAGTTATGATTTCATTTAGGATTTCTACTCCTTGTTCTCCACTATGTGCTTCCTCCTGCTTTTGTGGAAAAAAAATAATAATATAGGATGAATCAGTGAAATGATCTCTGCAAGGATCAAGAAGTCAGAGTCAAGTCAGACAACAGAGACTCTCCAGCTTTCTTTCAAATGACTAACATCACGCTGCAGAGTGGTTGCCAGGCTGCTTAAGCAGCTGTTCTGAATAGTCCTGCAGTTGCCTTTGGCCCCAAAGCCATGCAGGAGCACCGAAGTTTTGTATGACTCTTGCTCTCAGTGCACTAATCACCACATGCAGATTTATCTATTTTTATAGCTCTCATCAGCCTACAGATTTTGGAAGATTCAGATGCCATGCCAGCTTCACAGACTAGCAGAACAGAAAAGCTGTAGTGATTATTAATATTTTAAATAATTAAGCTGACAGCACAACAAAATACCAATGCTTTGTCATGTTGAAAAGTCATACCTACTTCGGAGAGAAGTCATTAAGGATCACAACACTGCTGGGAAGCCTCATAAGGGCAAAATTTTCTCTAACTCCTTGCATCTCTCTCCACAACTGTTCTCTTGTGTTCGCAGTGCATTTTTGTGGCACAGGTTACCACATTAGTGCAGTATCTGAGCATGTGAGGGAGCATTTATTTTCATTAGCACTGAGGATTGGCAGCATCAGGAAGTCTGGATCATGTCTCCCATCTGGAAACATCCAGCACCCACTGACCACTGCTGTGTTTCTGCGGAGCTCGTATCTGCAGTGTTGGCAATGTTAATGGCGATTAAGCCGACGTGCTTTCATCTAATATCCTGTTTCCATTGTTTCACAGGTAACATAAAGAAGAGGGGAAGGTCTCTTCTGTGTTTTCCTATCTTACCACTTCGAACTATCTTACCATTACGAAGCAGGAATTAAATGCCAACTTTTGTGATAGTGGCAACATGGAAAAAGTCACATTGAACCTTCTGGGTGATGCTTGAAGTGGGTGAATGATGGAGTTCACAGTTTTAAGAGGTCATTTAAAGTGCTTTTTAAAAACTCAGTTGCGTCTCCATTGAATTGATGAACAGTTAAGTAACACGTTTCACAGAAGAACAACTGGATAATTTTCAGTATTAAAAGTGAACAGGAGTCACCAGCTTATTGACAGTAGAAAATTCTATCGATTCATCGAAGTGTATACTACAAGCTGCTGCACCCTCAACGTCTGCAGTCATGAGAGATGAAAACTAATTGTTTTGTGGTGCCACTGATAAACACAATTAAGTTTGTTTTGGTTTTGGACTACCAAAGTTGAAGTTTTCACCTGTAAGTCTGGATTAAATGGAAATGTCTGGATCAGAAGCACAAGAACGACCAGACTGGAAAACAGTCTGAAATTGTAATGTTGTCCTTGGGAATCCAGAAGTGGCTCTTTTCTTCATGCTCATTATCAGTGCTGCCTTAAGAAAAGTACTTTTTATCAAATAATTGTCTTGTTACAGATTCCTTCAAAAAGATTGGAGGGAGAAGAGAGATGAATTAAACTGGAAAACTATCAGGGATTTTTCTGATAATGTGACAGAAATCGAATTATATACAAACAGCTCCAGCCTAGTGCACAGAAATCTTCAGAGTGACATTGCTTACAGGTTTTTACTCTGTCACAAATGGAAACTTTACAAGTGTGAGGTTTTTTCTATTTTTTAATGAAAGAATTTCACTAATCTGAAAACAAAACTGGATTTCTGAAACCAATTTTTCTTCTCATTTGTATATCTGAATTGAGATTTAATTGTCACCTGCAAGTGTGAGACTAAATGCATAAGCATCTGTTCTATACTTGAAAATGAAATCACTACTTTGTATTCTTGATGCGGTCTGCTTCTGCAGAGTTAAGAAGAATTAGGCAATGACGGGAAATCGCGTATTTCAAAGAATTAACATGGATCTGTGCTGCTGCCCTCAGTGCTATTTGAGCCAAATCCTGGTCCTGCTGAAAGCAATAGCAAAACAGTCTCCTTTTCTTGCACTTCAGCCCTCTGAACACAGGAAAAAATAATAATTGTACAGAGGCAATTGTCTGGACTAGCTCTCTGCATGTCTAGATACAAGCTGGCGATGGGAAAACAAAGTTGGATGGTAGAAGCTAGCATCCAGTATGCTACAGATTGAGAAGGGAGGGCTGTGTACCTCATTTTGCTAACTTGATCAGCAGCCTCCTTTAAGTCTCTTTTGCTAGGAAGCACTGACAACACTGATCAAAGATCTTTGCAAATGAGCGTCTCTCAACTCACCTTCCAAATATTCTGTTACTTGGTTTGAAAACATCCCCAATTTAAACAGTTCAAAACCTCAATCTTTGTTCTTTCCAGCAATTTCTATGTTTCCACTTACATTTCTGCACCTGCAGAATCTTGACAATTTAAAGAAAGAAGGAAGGAAGGTCATCTAATTTATTGTTTCTGTTCAAAAAAGTCAGGAACCAGACCTAGCACGTAGAGGTAGTAGTGCAGGAGGGCAAGGTAAAAAACACTATGGAGAATGCGATTTTAACTAGAAAATTATATTTGCCTTCATTATCTGCTTCAGTCTTCAAGTTCTAGCCAGAGGTGTGGAAAAACCTCATTTATGTTCCCCTCTTTAAGCTGCTTGAATGGGAAGCATTAGCTTGAGCTAAATTCAGTGTGACACTCCCATCAGCCTACAGCACTCCAGCCACACAGAGCTACAGTGAGCATTCCTCTCGGCTTCCTTGGACCACACTTAGGATGACAAATGCCCCTGTAGGGATAAATTCTGCAACCAGGCTTCACTGTGACTGAATCTAAGAATATGCTAACTATAATGGAGGCAGCTGAATGTTACAGCACTCTGCACTGCTAAAACAGGGTTGGGTATTCTACTGTTCTCTTAGTGGGAGATGTAGGCTTTAATGTAGATTGTAAATTGTGATGCAGTGTTTTGGTCATCTTTATACATCTTTTTTGAAAGTATTAATAAAATTGAGTATTCCTTTTTACAGTAGCTTGCAGTACTCATTGAAAATCATTTGTGTTTTTCTCTCTGGGAAACTGGGAAACCGCTGCTGAACATGATGACAAGCTGAGGGTTCTCCTGTTCCGTGGTAATGGCAAGCAGTGTGCAAGGGAGACAGCGCAGTCCTGCTGGCAGTCAGCAGTACAGTGGTCTGGAAACAGAGAATAATGCTTTCTGAACAGGCTGTGGGATCTTGCAAAGCCAACTGGTAAACTGTGCATCCACAAGTAGAAGGTGTAAAAGTGCTGTCTGAAGCTGCCTGCTGATAACAGAAAAAAATCATAATCATAGAATGCTTGGGTTGGAAGGGACCCCAAGTCCATCATCCAATCACCAAGTTCCAACCCATCTGGGGCTTTTTGCATTTACAAGTTTTTAAATTAATCAAAGGCTGGACGCTCTTGTGTAACAGAGCTCATGGAAAAGACTTCCATCGGTTGCGTGCCTTATGTGCAGAGGACAGAATTCACTGGCTACCCTGAAAAAAAATCAAATCTGCATTCCAAAATATCCTTTGAGGATGAGAAGAATGATTATCTTGTCTCTTTGTGCCCAAATTCTTTTTGTTAGACCTGAAACCTTGCTAAAATGCTACGGCTTGTTTTATGATGGCGATCGGATGTACTTGTAATCTGATCACTTTCCCCATCATTAAAAACTAAAGTTGAACTGCTCTGAAAAGTCAGAAATCTCAATCTTCAGTTCAGAATCTCCAAGGTGAATTACTTGGTGGAAACTGTATTCCTTAATCTGTGAGTCACACAGCATAAACCCACTGCAGAGAACGATTACCAAGCAGCAGATGCTGTAGAACCCATAATGACAAACCAAACCATGTCGTTAAAATGGCATACGTGTGACCCTGAATAATTGGTGTAAGCTATTTCTGAACAGTATTAAAGTCACAACTATACAACCAGCAGACATGCTGCCTTTGGTAGCAAAATCCAGTATTCCTCGTGTTAGTCCCAAATGGGCACACAAACACAAACTTAACAAGTATTTTGACTTGTCTGTTCTTTACACAGGTGCCTACATGAAAATTCAGAAACATTCTTAATACATCAACTTGGTTTAGCAACTGCACTGTTATGAAAACTCAACCTTGGAAGATATGTAGTAGGACAAAACCAGCATAATAGCTTCTTTTTTTTTTCCCCTATACATTTTCCTTGCAGAAGGACTTTCTGTATGCTGGCCATCTCAGTAATCAGGAACTGCTTTTAGCATGAAAAGCATTTTCATGTTATTTTCTGTTCAAATGGAAAAAGAACCACTCCAACAAATGACTCCTTACTCTTTCATGGAAAAGGTCAATCTTTATTGTATTGCTTTCAGATCTGTACATAGGAACATGAACTTAATCTGCAAATTATCTTGTTAGATAATGAATCCACCTAACAAAAGTCAGTCTCTGATCTGTTTCAAAGCTTGCAATTTAAATAAAGTCTCTTACTAGTGCACTTCTTGTCATAATACTGCCCTGAACAGAACCCTGCGGCACTCCTGATGTGTTCCCCTGAGAAAGCACAGATGTGGAGCTATTGGCTGGTAGAGTTTTCAATGTGTGAATGCAAAACTTGCTTAAGCAGCATGTACAGTGTGTCCATTCAGGTGAAATGGTATTTATTGAAAAGTTTATCAAATCTGAGTAATATGTTGATTTTTTTTGTAAGAGAACATAGCTTATATTATTTGTTCACAGAGTCCATCCCCGAATTACCTATGGAAGCCCAGTACTGTACATGAATCACAGCAGGTAGTGCACACTCAAGAGGCAATGGTCATGAGGAAAAAGTCACAGCTGACAAGGTCTGATAACAACTCTTCTCATTGTCCCCTTGTCCTTCTTTTCACCTCTACACTTCAGAGTACAGTTTCTTTCCATAACTTGATCCATTAACCTGGTCATAATCCATTTCAGGTGTTCAATGAATCTGTTTAAAAAAGAACACATAACAAATACATAGTAACCCTCCAGACCCACACTGAACAGAGAAGTCTGTGTATGTTAGATACAGCACCATACCATCTGTTTCTTTCAAAAGTAAATCAATCAATCAATCAACTGTTTGAGGTGCTCAGGTGCTGCACTGACAGCAAAGAACTCCAGGAGGACCTCATAACACTGAGTGAGCAAAAAAGGGCAGGTGACCTTTGATGATGTAGTATAATCCAATTAGAGAGAAAAAATCAAGACCTGCCTATGTGACATAGGTTGGAGCTGACAACTACAGCTAGGCATCACCACCACCAACTCCCTGAGCTCAGTATCTCAGCTGTGGCACACAAAAAAGCCAAGAAAACTTTGGACATCATCATGAAGGGCACTGAGAAGATGGTGAGTACCATAAAAGCCACTGTGTGCCCGCATCATGAGTACTATGTGCACTTCTGGTTCCCATATCTCAGGAAGACCAAGGTGTAGCAAAGGGGGTTAGACAAGAAAGACTAAACTGCAAAGATCCAGGGGAAGGACCAGCTCATTTCAGGTTTAAGGGGCTGGGAGAAGGAACTGGAAAGCAGCTGCTACAGGGCCGGGCAGCACCATGCCCTCTAACATCTCTAGTTCTTCCACTGGGGATGCGGAAAGCACAAAGGGAGCACTGCAGATTTTGGCCAAGTTTATGTGTGCTCCCAAATGGCATCGCCTGCCACAGCTGGAGCCAGAATGCAGGCAGGGTGGTCCTGGTATGACTTGTCCCCATGTTACTCTGTGCCACTTAGCAGATGCAAAGCCGGGAGTGAGAAGCTCTTCTGTGGTCAGTGAGGTTCTTTTCTCAAAAGCTTAACACTACAGTACCCTGCTAACAGCAATATGCTCATATCATGACTCTCAAAGCAAGGGGAACAGCAGTTCTAAAAGGTTACAAATGTGATGTTATCTGAACAAACACAGTGGTAGTTCTGAGAGATGGTTGTTCTGCGTTGCAGATCGAATCCTCAGCTGACTTAAAAACAGCACAGCAAAACGTGCTGGGCTTCCAAAGCAAAGCATAAAGCTGTCCAACTCGTGTTTCAAACATGTCTGCAGGGCTGCTAGACCAGGACAGTAATTTGTGGAGGCAGATATGATACAATTGACCAGGATATTCAATCTTGTATTTCTGTTCTGTCCTTCAAATTTTATGTGAACCTAATCCTTAACAGAAAACAAAAAAAAAAAAAAAGCCCCTAAAAATCAAAAGATAACAGATGTTTTTCAGATCTCAGAAGCAGTCATCCAACAGCCTGAACATACCTGCCAGCATTCAATAGCACAGCTGGTAGAGCGCAACTTCAGCATTAGAAGAGGAAATAGTAGAAGCAGCCACCGGTATTTCTGTTAATTCTATGTGAGAAGTCATTGCTCATGATGGGCTGGGCCAAAGGAAATGCAGTGACCCTGCTCTGCATCCAGGCATTGTCTGCCTTGTTTCCAGCTTTCTAAAAGTATTTCAGATACTGCGGCCTATTTGGGCCACGCTGCCTGAGCGAGCCTCGGGTCCTTGTTCCTGGCCCTTCAAAGAGAAGCCTTAAGTCACTCACCTGAACTAGAGCTTTACACAGCAATGCATCATCTGGTGCATGTCATTATTATCCATTGTATCCTTGTCATATATGGCTTCCGTTAGCCCTTGCTTTTTTTATTATGGGTAGATGGACCATACAATTCTCACAGAGGAATACAGAACAGAGCATGAGGAGCCACAACCCACTGCGACAAAGGGGAAAATTGCTGTTTAGCATTTGGGAAACAACACCCTTGACAGGACGAAGGGAAGGTCAGCAGTGCATTCCCCATAGCAGGTCACAAAACTGATGCTTCTCAGCACCCATCTCCAGAGCAAGATGGAGTTGGTTATTCATGGGCAAAAGAAAACCCTGAGCAGTGGGACCCCTACTGTGGCTTTCCATTTCCACTGATCCCATTCCACACCAACCCCCCACCAGGCCTTGAAAAGGAAGATTTTTAAACCCCTTAATGCCAGTAGATGGTGGAGTTTCTACTGATGCTTATGGAATTCTTGACAGAATGCTCAACTTCTTTAAAAAAAAAAAAAAAAAAATCTTAGAAGAAATGCATACTATTCTACATAAAGAGAATGTAGTTTGTAAATTGAATGAGTAAATTTGTGTCAGATTTTCCTCAGTAGTTTCAAGTGCCTGAAAGAGACGCTGATCCTCCTGTATTCAGGTCTCAGCTGCACAACTTTTCCAGAAGTTTCCAGTTTGATTCTGTGATTGATTTCAACTCCTGCTAGCTCTTTTTAATGAACTCTGATCTCATACCAGGCTTGAAAAGTAGACAGGATATATTTTAGAAGCACTTCTTGTTCCCAGAGAACATCCCTCAAACTTTTCACCTGTTTTTTCCCAACTTTGTGGCCAGACAAAACACCCAGGCTCGATAACTGGGAAGAGAAAGACCATCTGAAAACTTCCCTGAAGAAATGGAAAGCCTCAGCCATTTCTGTGTACCACTTATATATCAGTATATAAATGAGCATCATTACGAGGGAAGAAAGACAAAGAGTTGGACGGGTCAAATATGCATCCTAAATTTCTCTAAACAAATTATTCTTCTATTTTAGGATTGCAAGTGTCATCTGAAACAAAGTGCTGTTTTGCCCATTCTCAAGAGAAAACAAACAAAAAGAATCAAAATGAATTCAACCTGCCAGGCTGTGGTTAGCAGCACTGAACGGACAGTTCACTATTCAGCCACAATTCTTTCTTCTTTCCATCTAGGACAGAACTCCTGCAAAGAACTGCTGGAATACGAGTCTCCTTATAGCAGAGCTGCCAGGTGAGTTTGAGCATTCAGCTTCTAGTAATTTTAGTAACACCTAAGAGTTCACAGCTGTGAAAATTCCAGCTGTTGCTCTTAATGCTGTCATTATTATAACTGATAACAAAATAGACAAATTATCCATCTCGTGGAGTCAATGATTCACCTTTTTCTTTGGCAAGGAGATTCCTACAAATAAGGGAAGAGCAGAGTGAAAAATGAGAAGGTTAAAAAAAGTAACAGATCACTCTGCTCATTATTTGTATGATTGCAAGTCAGGGAAAGTTCTAATGCATTTATGTGCATCCTGGCATGGCTGGTGGTAACATTCTTCTGACCTGCTCCTTTATGAGGCATCGCAGTTTCTGAGATGGAAGAGAAGCACAGCTGAGGTAAGCTCACAGAAGCTGCCAGTGGCAGACCCAGGCAGGAGCCCAGCATGCTTATTTCCTTCCCCACTGGACCACACTGCCTTCTGCAGACGCTGAGCCCTCAGCTCTAATTGGCACTACTTTGATAAGCTGATGAGTGCAGCTATTTCTTTGACTGATTCAGGATTTACATGCTGGCAAAGAGCAGAAGTGCTGAGTCACAAGCTTTTGGGTGCTGGATTCTGCTCATCAAAGACATACGCTGTAATTCATTTTGTAAAAAAAAACAAAACAAAACCATAGGTAACACTTGTACAGTAAAATTATGTGAATTGAATATTTCCAATTTGGTTTCATTATCAATTGCTCATTATCCCTTTGATTAAAGTACTTTGTGATGAGTCACATCTGATTTTAAGGCAGTGCAAAGACAACAATCACATCACCTTATTTCAGGGGACTTGAAATATGATGAAGAATCTGGCATACCCAAGGGAAAAGGGTAGGTGCCGTGAGTCAGCTCAATCCTACTCAGCTCACACAGATGGTTTTCTCCATTTGAGAAGGACAGGAGTCTTCTTAGTTGTCTATCTTCAGCCTCTGCCACCAATTATGGTTAGAAACCTGAATGTAATTCTGCTCCTAGCGACTTTATTCAGCTGAGGTTTTCAGTGCAAGAGAGAACACAGCTCTTCTGATCCACACGCTCCTTTCCTTTGAAATAAGCCTTTCCACATTGCGTAGAACGGCCTCTTGGGATTTCCTCCCTGTTCATGCATGCCACTCATCTCCTACGTGGCAGGCAACACTTTTTAAATGCAAGGAGCACACCTGCAAGGCTTTACCTGAGGCTAATCACTGCTGTTTAGTTGTTCTCAGTAATAGCTGGTGAGTCACATGAAGAGCACTCCTTTTATTCTTAGTGCAAAGAGCGATACCCCTACCATTTCATCCCCGCTGCTAAAGCTGAGACCGCTCTTTCTGCATCATGTGCTGAATCCTCAGCATGCCAGCTCAAAGTGAGCATTCCTGTGCCCATGGTTTCTCACGGGGAGCCGGTGGTGACAAATACCACAGCACTGTGAAGAACTCTGTAAGCAGGATCTGAGCACAAATCCCTCCTCATGGTGACGTGCTGAGCCTTGGCCTGCTAGCTGAATAACCAGGCAATTTGCAGCCCGGTTGCTGAACATATAATTAAATATATAAATAGATGAAGCACAGTAATGGTGTATGCTTTGCTCTCCGGTAATTGGAGATTTGTAATTTGGTTCTCAGAAGAAACAACAGTGTAAGACAACAGCTGCCAAACGACAGGGCTGAGCAGGCTGGTGCTTACCTCTGAGCATGGTGACATCGCTGCCATTTCTACACATGGAGCTGATGTTGTCTTACAGTGAGAGTAGCAAGTACTTTGAAGAGCTTCTTAACCTACTAACATAAAGGAAAATGTTAAGAAGCCCATTTACTGACATTGAATAGAATGGTGCTCATGTCCTGTGCTCTATGAAACGACGTGCTCGTGTAGTAGGAACAATCCCCTGCGTGATGTGGCTGTTATTCTCCTTGGGCCTCCCTGAAAACCAGATGAATTCACTGTAACAAATCCTGGCCAGCAGAAAAGTCCTCTACCATCACCTAATACTAGCATTAAAAAATGTTTATTTTCTGAATCCTTGTACTAGATGATGTTGGAGTAATAAGATCAGGAGTTTGGGGGAAGGTGTTTCTGAGGAGCAAAGGATTAGAACTTTCTGCACCAAAGATTTTGCTTAGATTTCCATTAATTATTATGAATTTCTTCCCTGGAAGACAGGAGATACCGGTCTGAAGGATACAAAGGCTTTCGATTCCTATCCCTGTATTCAAACCTCATGTGTTGTTTGCCCAACTGAAAAGGGCCAAGGACAGCCACAGCAGCAGCACAGTGTGGGCAGTTCAGCTCTGCTACAGATCTGTGCCAGCAGAAGGGATTCTAACCCAGTCGCTTGGGATGCACCAAACAGACATGCCAGCATACACAAAATGCATGTATGCTTTTATCTGTTGTAACTGCAGTGAGATTTCTCCAGAAGCAAGAGATATGTGTGTCTCCAATGCCACACACACACTTCTGTGCTCCCACGTGGTGTTGTCCAAGCCTTGCACACCTGTGTTGGTGCTATCCATATTCATCCAACACCAATTCCCATTTCATATTTTCTAGGCTATTGACCAAAACCTGACACTATTGCTTTATACGGAACCTTAATGGAAATATTTAGAGTTTCAGTATGAAGGACTGCATTGTAGAGATGTGGTTTTGCTTTTATGGTGGTTTTTTTTCATGTGGAAGACACTAAAATAGTACTGTGACAGGCAGCACTTGTGCGATGTGTTCACCAAGGTCATCTCTGCGACCTTACAGCAGAAACTCCTACCTGCATGTTTTCAAGTGTAACTTGAAAGGCATCCTAACTGGATTTTCAAACTCACAGGCGATATTTTGCTTAAACATTCTGTTGGCAGATCTGGAAACACTTAAACTGTGAACATTTTTGTTAACATCCATTTGGCACAGAACATCCTCGCTGGAAATAGTGGTTCTCTCCCCAACTGCAGTTCAGCATTACAAAACGCCGGATCCTTACATTTCCAACGCAGTAGTGTCACCGACAGCTACAGCGGTAACAAAACGTTTGATCAAACAGACCCTCGCACTCCGATCGCCGCGACGATCCCGGGCAAAGGCTCGCAGCACCTCCGAGCCTCGGGAAGCGCGGCTGCTGACCGCCGCAGCCCCGACGCCGCGCTGACAGCCGCAGCCGCCCGGAGAGCAGCTCGGCCCTCCCCTCGCCCCGCCGGTCCCTCCCCGCCGCTCCGAAGGCTGCGGGTCCCCGGGAGCCGCCGGCTCTCACTTACTTCTGCGGCCCCTCCGCGGCCCGGCCCGGCGGCGGCGGCGCGTTCCGGGGGCGCCGCGAGGGGAGAGGCGGCGCGGGCATCCCGGCGCCGCGCCGGTACGGCGTCACTCCAAGTAGGTGTCAAATACGTCCAGCTCGCCGTCGGTCTCGTACAGCGCCGAGCCGGGGTCGGAGAGCACCCCCAGGTCCACCAGCGCCTGGTCCATGTCCTCGGGCAGGAAGACGATGCCCACGTTGAGGACGATGTACTCCATCAGGAAGGCGTAGTACAAGATCAGCACGTTGACGAAGAACAAGCCCACGTAGAACATATAGGGCAGCACCAGCAGCGCGTGAAAGGCCCAGGACTCCAGCGAATCCAGCCGTGCCGATACCGCGGCGGGCATGCAGCCGGGGCGGCGGGCCGCGGCCCCCGGGGCGCAGAGCGGGGACGGAGCCGGAGCAGACCTGCGGGGAGAGGCGGCGCCGCCGAGCTGCGGGCGGACCGCGCGACTCCGGCTGCCGCAGCCCCGCCGCCGGCAGAAGGCGCTCCGCGGAGCACCGGCCGCCGCAGCGCCGCCGCCTCCCGGCCTCCTCCCGCCCGCGAACTCGGCGGAACGACCCCGCGGGCGCGTTGCCGCATCGGGGCCGAGCACCTGCCCCGCGCGCTCCGCTCCGCCCCGCCGCGCCGTTCACCTCCGCGTTCCCCCCCGCGCCTGGGGGCGGTCAGCGCGGATCGGGCCGGGTTGGGGGGGGCGTCCGTCAGCGCCTCCGCAGCGGGGCTTGGCCGTGCGGGGCTGTCCCATAGGGCTGTTCCATAGGCTGTCCCGTGGGGCTGCGGGGCTCTCTGCGGCATTCTCTCACCGCGCGCAGAAGCGAAAGTGCGACTGTAAACTTTTTCTTTTTTTCTTTTTCTTTTTTTTTTTTTCTCTTTTTTTTTTTTTTTTTTACACCGGTTTGATCTCGGCTCCAGCTCCAGCTGCCCGAAGCTGCTCTCCACTCGAGGTCTGCCCTCTCCCCGCTCCGCAGCCGCCCGCCTGAGGCGACGCGCGGTGTCGGAGCCCGCACGCAGCACCCCGTTATGGAAGGAAGCAGCCGCACCTCAGCGCCGTGTCGGCCGGTGCTGCCTTTGCTTGTTTACATTCTTCCCACCTACGGAGCTCTGAGGGCTGGCCCGCAGCACTCCCCGTCGTGCCCGGCAAGCAGCCGGCGCTGCGCCGCGCTGCGCTGCGCAGCTTCCCTGCAGCCCGGCACGAAGGCGCGCGCTGCCCACTGTCTAAGCGGCAGACAGAGCGGCGCGGTGCCCGCCGGGAGCTGCAGTCCGCTCCGAGGAGCGATTCCCGGCGTGCCCCGGCCGCGCATGCGCACGGCTGCGGGTGCGCGCCGGCGGCCGTCAGCGACGTTGAGCTCCGTCCGCGGCCTGCGCCGGCCGTCCCCACGGGGCCATGAGGAGATAAGACCCCGCCGTGCTCCGCCAGTATGTTCGGCCGCTCCCGGAGCTGGGTGGGCGGCGGGCACGGGAAGGCCGCCCGCAGCATTCACTCCTTGGATCACCTCAAGTGAGCGGGAGCCGTGAGGGGGGCGGCAGGCGGGAGCGGCGCTGCAGCTGTGGGGGCGGCGCGGGGCGGGTCAGAGCCGTGCCGGGTTGTGCTGTGCCACAGTGTGCTGTGCCACAGTGTGCTGTGCCACAGTG